TTTTAATAATGAAAAAAACAACAACATGGGGGGTAGCAGAATACTGCCCGCACGGCCCAACACTTGAAAAAAAAGCCTCCCCCAGGTGGCACGTGGCGTGCTTACTGGGAGGTTGTTCACGTATGAAACGGGCATTCATCCAACATGTTTGAATGCTGTTCAAAGTTTGAATGCAGAATCTGCGTTCAATGAACGCGCGGTTTCACTGAAGACCGTAGGGCATTTGCGGCCAAATCTTGGTTGAATTCTGGTATGAAAAAAAAAAAAAAAAAAAAAAAAAAAAGATACACCTTGGGAAGTCCAAGCATGAGCGGTAGCTTAGTGGGAAGAGCACTAGTAGCAAATGCGCATTGTGGTATCAGGTCGTGGGTTCAAATGTTTGAGCCCCCAGCTGGGCGCATAGGTGCTGGACAGGCATTAGTTTTGAGGAACGGAGCACTCTCGCACACGAGGTTGCTATGGGTTGGAGAGTACTGGTGGTCAGGGGTCAACGGCGTATCAGCTTGGGCCCTGGGGGCGACTTGTGAGTTCCATCTGGGCTTGTGGGGGGTTGGTTATCTTTGTAATTGAGCATTTAGCCAAGCTGTGGATGGCGACATCAACTTAGGGCTTGCTTGGGGCTTGCGTCTTGGGTCTTGAGTTGATTAGTGTGTGAAGTGTTTGGCAGTCGGATGACCAGTTTTGAGCGTGGGGTGTTTGAGGGGCGTATGTACGATCCTGCACGTAGGGCTACGCAATAGTCTTAAACCGTCATTACATGGTCCCCGCCTTGCGGAAAATGTTTCGTCTCCTGGTTCGAAAACGTTGGTGCCGACGCGCCGTCGATAACATAAATCGTCGGCTGGCGCCACATTTCGGCCTCTGACAAGGGCCCGCGACTGATGTGAGGCGTGTACTGGTGGTTTTTATCCACCAGTTCGCACGAGCCTAAGTTGACGAAACTACCTTCCAAGGCTCACGAGCTTGCAGCTGCACCTTTTCGGAGTGGCCTCTGCCACTTTTGCTACCGGCCCAGGCCCGAATTGAAATGATCTTACCTCGTATACCTGTAAGAGCACTGGTTAGGTTCACGGTTCAACCAAAAAGCACGAGTCTTAAACACTTTTTTTTTTTTGACTTGAGGAACTTTAGGAAGTCTGGTCTGTTAGGCTAGTGCAGTACTGGGGGGCAGGCTATATGTAGCTATGTGTGGGGTCCTGGTTGGCGATGTACCATGTGGAATGTGAACACTTTATGGATGTGTTGCTGCAATAAGATGCCCGAGATAGCAAAAATCTAAGGTATAGAAAGGGAAGTGGGGCATTCAATGACATACCATACAACCGGGATAGATGCATTGGTCGGTGTTGGGAGAAAGATCTCCCCGTAGGCATAGGGATGATCCGGGGTAGCATGAATTGCCTGTGGTTGGGATAGCAAGTCTCCTGGGTGCCGACTCTCGGCAGGTATAGATAGCATCCTTCTTAGCTGGGTGAGATGGTGGGACGCGGCGCTCAAGACGAGTGTTGCGATCGCTACGAGCCGGCCTGATCTCTAGCGTGACATCGAAACGCAGGCGCAATGTGACATTGACCAGCTTCATGACATCCATGACACAGAGGTACACGCAATGAGAAGATGGGAGCGAGTCACATCGAGAAATAGCACAGCCCCTATGGATTCAAAGGATAAGCAAAACAGCACAACCTGGTGAAACCAATAGATGGAGCCTCCCCCCCAGGTGCTAGCAGTGTCTGCTCTTATGAGCACTACTAACTTCTCTCTGTTGTCTGGCCCATATTCCTTTCAGGTGGTTCACCACCAAATCCGTACTTTCGTACCGTCGCTT